AGATTAATAATAGATTGCACAATGTAAATAAAATACATTTATAAACTTACATGAATATAACAATAAAAATTGTCCAAAATAAAAATGAAGAATTTACAGATCAGTCATATAATAGTTTACTCTGTTCCAAAATCAAGAAACTTATATTCATGAAATTAGAATTCTCAAAGTAGAAAGGGGTAGGCAATAAATATTTAAAGATTTAAAATTTCTGAATATAGTTGAAATAATAGCACATTTCTAAGAAAAATGAACCTTTTGCACAAGAAATTTGAATAATATCATACCAAGATACACAATAAAATTGTCCAAAACTTATTGTAAAGAAAAAAAATCATTAAATCATACACATATAAAAAATTAGCTCTGGAAGAATAAAATTGAATAACATCTTGTTTCATATTAAAAAGAAAAAAGAGACCAAGTGTGTAAAAAACTAGACTAATTAATTCAAAGGACTAAAGAAAAAAAAAAGATCTGTCCTCATTGAATTTTATACTTAGCCAACATACCTTTGAAAACTAAAAATAAAATATTTTCTAGATATACAAACTCCAAATATTCTAATACCTCCAGATGCAGGATATAGGAAATAATAAAGTGCATAATCCAGAAGTCAAAAACTGCTGTATGGTCCTGGATAAAGAATATAGAGCTCTCAAAATGATAGTTATGCAGGACTATGTAAAATATATTGGATGAACCCACTTAAAAGGTCATTGAAGATTTCTACAAAATAGTATCAACCTTATGTTAGGTTATATACATATTTTCTGGTTTCTTAGAATTTTTTTTTGCATTAAATTTTTTTTATGTATTTAGTACAAGATCTACAGAGTCTATAGGGTCTTATACATAGATTAGACTTAAAGTGATCTTCTGGTTTTCAGCTTCCCAAGCACTGGGATTACAGGTTTGTGCCACCATGCCTAGTCTCAGTTGTCTCAGTGTGCCCCTACTTCTTCCTCAATGAATGATTTTTAAGTATGTTCTTGCATTACTTTTCTTACAAGTCTTTGTGAAGCAAGTGGTGTAGCCTTTTTACAGATGAGGAAGCCGAGGTTAGAGGGAGTCCAGGAACTTGCTCAGGGGTCACAATGAGTCCTCACTAGTTCCATCATTGTCCCAAATACCACCTCAGGATATTAATGCTGACTGTCACATCCAGAGGAACTTCAGTCCTACACAATGATATAAATATCTACCTCTGAAATCTCAGGGATGGTAGGAAGGGGAAAAGAAGAAGAGGAGCATCTGAAGGCATTCTTTGCCAGGAACTGCTCCTGGTTTCTGCAAAGCTTGAACATTTTGTGGTATGAGGGAAGTTTCTTTCTTATCATAACATCTCTGCAGCTGTGTTTTCCCAACCTCCCTGACCCATGATGCAAAGTTTCCATTTCTGAATCTGCTATATCACGTGGCCTTAGAGAAGACAGTGTGCCAGGTATGCACACACATACGCCCCCCCACATTATATATATATATATATATATATATATATATATATATTCAATAACTCATAGCAAACCACATAAAGACATCCTGTACAGTGCATGTAATTGGCATATGGTGCTGATTACATATATCGACTGTAAAACTGAAAAAGATGTAGCTATAAAACTTCCAAAGTTTAAGCAAAAACAAAAAGGCATACAAGAATGATAAGGGTTGATCTTGTTTAAATTTTGTTTCAGTCAGGTGATAAAGTCAACCCAAGACTCAACCCAAGAAGTGAGTCAGGTCTAAAAAATTGAAGTTGGCTGGCTGGAGGAAGCATTTTCTGTTATAAGAGAAGACTCAAAAACTTCTACCAAAAGACTGCTAAGATTAATAAACAAAGTCAGCAATGTAGCAGAATGAAAAATCAACACACAAAACTGATAGTGTTCCTGTACACCAAAATGGACCCACCAAGAAAAAAAAGTAGGAAAGAAATATCCTTCATAATAGCTTCAAGAAAAATTAAATACTTAAGAATTAACTTAACCAAGGAAATGATAGACCTCCACAATAAAAACTTCAGCACTCTGGAAAAGGAGATCACAGAGAACATAAAAAATGGAAACTATTCCCTATTCCTGGATAGACAGAACCAATACAGTGAAAATGACCAGGCTTCCAAAGCTGACTTAACTTCATCCCAATCAAAATACCAACAGCAGGGCTGGGGATAGCTCAGTGGTCTAAGCACTTGTCTGGCAAGTACAAGGTCCTAAATTCAATCCCTGGTACTGCATGCCATGCCAGCCCCCAAACCCAAGATACGGTGGCACACGACTGTAATCCCAGCACCAGGGAGGCTGAAATGGAAGGATCACTATGAGTCCAAACTGCATTGCAAGACCCTGTACCAATTTTTTTTTTAATACCAACAGCATTCTTCCCAGAACAAGAGAAAACAATCCAAAAATTTTTATGAAACCAGAAGAGACCCAGAATAAACAAACCTGCATAAAAGACCAAAGCAGGAGACACCATAATCCCAGCTTTGAAGTTATATTACAAGGTCACTGTAGTGAAAACAGCACAATTTCTTGAAAGCAAGTGGTAATATTCAATCATATGTCCAAACTTACATAACTATATCTTTTACTCTGAGCAACAGATTTGATGATAAAAAATAGATAATATAGCAACCATTGTTAATCAGCTATTCTTGTTTTGAAAATCTATAACATATGTACTGTTGTATGTTAACCTGTTTCTGTCTTTGTTTCTGATTTTTTTCTCTTGCTTTTGGTTTTACTCTTCACAAAAAAATAAAATTATAATTTAAGAAAGCACAATTGGCTCACAAATAGACATATGAATAAGAGGAACAGGGCTGAAGATGCAGAAACAACCCCAGACATATTCAGGTATTTGATCTTTGACAAGAAGACAAAAATATACACAGAGGAAAGATAGACCTTTTAATAAATGATATTGGAAACATTGACTATCCACATTCAGAAGATTGCATCTCAACCTTTCTGTCTCACCATGTGCTAAGCTAAAAACAAACTGGATCAAAGATATAAATGTTAAAAGAGAAACACTAAATCTGCTGGAAGATAAAAATAGGTAATACGCTTGAAGACATACAAAGAGGTAAAGACTTTCTGAAGAGAACAGTGGTGGCATAAGAATCCACAGATGTGATCATATTAAATTAAAAAGCTACCACACAGCAAAAGAAGCCACTAACAGGGGTAAACCCTTTGCCAGCGACATCTTGGACAGAGGACTAATATATGGAATATATAAGGAACTCAAAGAATTAGACCTTTGAAAATAAAAGACCAAATAAAAAATGGCCAACTGAAATGAATAGATGCTTCTCAGATGTACAAGCTACCAATGAATATATGAAAAATGTTCAACATCATTGGTTATTAGAGAACTGTAAGGGAAAAAGAAGCCACAATGAGATTCCATCTCACTAAAGAAAGAATGGCTATCATTAAGAAATCAAATAATAACAAATGCTGGTGAGACTGTAGGGAAAGATGAACCTTTTAACATTGGTGGTGGAGATGTAAACTGATACAACAATTACAGAAATCAATGTGGAGACTGCTCAAAAAAATGTAAACAGAGGGCTGAGTACAAGTCTGAGAGTAATCCAGGAAGCTGGAAGCCTGACTGAAGGCAAAGTCAAGGAAAGGACTTGATAGGATTGATTCAGTGCTTCATCTTGTGAGACAAGGCTTGCATGGGGAATAGCAGAGCTCTTTACTTGAAATTTTAGTTTCAGCAGAGCTTTGCTCTGGAGACAAACAGCAGACTATCAAACCAGGAATCAAGAGCCATGGAGCTCAGAGTTCCCAGTGAGGCACCAGTTCATCAGGGAGGCCCCCTGGCTTCTCAGGAGGGAGATCAGATGCCCCATCTCACCCTTGGACATTCCTGGGAAGGGAGCTGAGATGCCACCACTGTGCTCTGTGCTGGAGAGTTCATTACTTCTTCTGGGAAGAAGAGACTTCCTGGAGGAAGTGTTGGGGATGAACAGGCGGGGGGCACAGTCAGTTCTCTGTATCCTCGCTTCTACTCCTGTGGATTTAACCAACCATGGATTGAAAACAGGAAGGTGAAAAATAGTATATGAATAAGAATATGTTCTTGTCTTTATTCCCTAAACTAAACAGTATAACCATTTCCATCTTATTAAGTGTTTGGAGATGAATTAAAGTATATGAGAGGAGGATGCGCACACGTTATATGCAAATAGAATACCATTTTATACAAAGGAGTTGAGAATCCAAGGGTTTTAGAATTCACAGGATGTCCTGGACCAATTCACATTGATACTGAGGGATGACACAGAGGAAGGGCAGTAGGAGGGGAGAGGGACAGCTAGAGGAGAGCATGGTACTGGGACACTACCATACTGCCTGTGGGGAGGGCTTGGGTTTGCTTGGCCATGTCAAAGGGTAGAGAACAGAGAGGGCATGAAATAAAGCTGAGAAGTTATGTTGAGGTCAGATCAAGAGCCAAATAGAGAAGCTTTCATGGTATTCAGTAAATAATGGTGATCCATTGACAGATTCCAGGCAGGGCAGTGTTATGACCAAGCTGTTCTGTATGAAGATGGAATCAAAGGATGGGGAATGGCCTGGCAGTAGATGGGCAATAGAGAGCTGCTACTGTTACATTTTAGTGGAAAATCAAATGAAAGATTTGGACTCAGGAAAAATGTATTTTGATTCTTGCCTCTGTAATTTATAGTGCTGTAATCTTGGGAAGGTTATTTAAGTTCTCCAAACCTCAGTCTTTCTGTTACTAAAGTGGGGGGGGGGTAGGAAGAAAACTTGCCCTACCTTGCTTGCTCACTGAAGGTCTGCAGTGAATATGAGGTACTTGGCACAGGGTTTGGCATAGGACAATGACAGGGGACAGGCATAGTGTTGCAGAAAACTAACATCAAACCAAATGGGAGATTGTGCACGGAGGAGTGAGAAGGCAACTCTTATTGTGCTAGTGGGCTGGGGAACCCACATGTTTAAATCACCAGGCCAGAGTCAAATTTGAGTTCTGTTTAAATATAATTTGTGAGCAGAAAGTATGAAGCTGATAGCCAGGTATTGCATGATTGGGTATTGGATACATGGATTCTGTGAATGAACCATTCTGGGAGGGGAGAGGTCTGAGCTGAATAGGTAGAGTTCAGTGGGTTCTTGATTGGGCAATCTGTCCCAGCCATGAAGTTCTTGAAGCAAGTTGAAACCAATATATATTTTCTTAACTAAGGAAAAACACAAGCTGGACACAGTCAGGTTGACCCAGTGTGTTATCAAAGAGAAGTAGACAGTCAAGGTAGGGGCCAACGAAATAGTTCAGCGGATTCAAGCACCTGCAAGCAGGTGCAGGGGCCCGGGTTTCAATCCCCAGGCCTGCGCCTGCTGTGCCAGCCCCACCCCCGGGGAATGCTGAGATGGCAATTGAGATCGGGCGTGGTGGGGCACACCTGTAATCCCATCTCTTGGGAGGCTATGAACAGACAGATCACTATGAGTCCAATCTAGTAGTGAGACCCTGAACACCCTGTAGACCCTTCCCTAAAATACAAAAACAAGAAAGCAAACAAAAAAAGACAGTCAAGGCTGACGAAATTTAGCAGGCTAGTTACATGACAAGATGTATGAGCGGTCACAGGCTATGAATGGATTCTTAACTTTTGCTATAAAATATCTTCGTCTGCTCTTCTATAAGTGTGCCCTTATAGTAGCATCAGGGAGGGGTCCACTCAAATTGGAAGGCAGAAAATAAGGCTCGGGCAAGCAGCCCGAAAGAAACAATGAGACGCATGAATAAAATCCTCTCTTCTTGGGGGCTTCTGGAGCTCAGGTCTGGAAAGTGTGGCTTGAGGGGGTCAACCCAGTTTGAAACCAGTTTACTGCAGCCTGAAAACTAGGAATCAGCTTTCCTCATTGAAAGTGTAAAAAAAAAAAAAAAACAAAAAAAAAACAAAAACAAACAAACAAACAAACAAAAACCCCAAAAAACCAAAAAAACCCCCCCAAAAAACAAAAAGAACAAAAATCCAAACAAAAAGATGTGGCGGAGAGTACATGCAGCATGCACAGCTGTGCTGCTTGCTTTCTGGCCCTGCATAGACAATGTTCACTGGACTCTCTTTCAGAGCAAAGCACATGGCTAAGCAAATATAACTGCACACAGAAGGTGCCCATGGCCACCGTCCTCTGGGCGCAGGAGCCTGAAACCCTGTCTGCAGGCCTGAGGCTGCTGCTGCTCTAGGAGGCTTCACCCCCAGTGTTGTCCCACATGCGCTTGGCTCCTCGGGCCTGCTCTCGGGGCCTGTCGTCATTCCCCATCAGCATCTGACTCTTGCTACAGAGGAGTACTGTGGGAATCTCCAGTGTCTGAAAACATGTGCAGGACACGAAAGTGGAGGAAAGGCATTAGTATCTACACAGTATTTTGGAGAAGAGTCATAGCATCCTTGCAGAAAGTTTTCTTTGCATAAAGGATAAGGCAGCAAGAAAGGAAGTCCCAAGGGCATCCTATGACCGTGTTACAATGCTGGGGCTCATTTGGGGTAGAACAGATTTGTTGATCAGAGACTTAAAGAAACCAGATATTTAAACTACAGCTATAAAATACATGACATAATGGAAATGGAGAAACATTTCAGTAAAAAAAATGCAAAATAAAAAGCAAGAGCAAAGGGCTACTAAATCAGATCCAAGTGGGTTGGATGGGTTTTACAATAACAAGAATCAACAATCGTATTTTCCCTTAGAGTGCCAGGTCCAAGTGTATCTTTAGAAATAAATTTTAACACACATTATTTTAAGCTTTTATGATGACTTGACTTAATTCTTTTTAATGTATTTGGTACAGGGTCTCACTATGCAGTGCAGACTTCCAGTGAATTTTTTTACAAAGTTTTATTGATAAACATAAAGCAATGAGACAGTTTCAAATCAAACCGAAAGTACAGTTTCAACAAGTAATACACTGCATATATTCTTCTTAGTGGTTAATCGCTGTACAATATGCAGACTTGTGCTTCTACTTACAAACACCATTAGAACAAATCATTCTATTCATTAAGAGAATGCAACTATATACCTATCCCAACCACTTTGAATACACAGATACAAAATGGACATTCATAGTCATATCCCATTTTTTTAAGTTCCGTTGTTGAATATTATAGGTGTGTAAACTCAGCAAAATATTCTAAAAGAGTCCA